GACACTCTTCTCATTGAGAAGTGAGGATCTATATCGCCTTCTCTTGCTCTGGGCAGACTTGTGACAGCTTTGACCCAGAAATTAAAGTCAAAGTCATTTGAGACTTTAGGCTTCTGAGGCTAGGAAATAAAGGCAATATATTACTGCCTGTATTCCAGGCATGGAGCAATGTATTACTGCCTTTATTTTATGCTTGGATCCCTGTGCTGCTATTTAAGAAGCTCAGTTACTCTTTAGCCACTTTAGCACTTTGAGGAGACACTGAAATGCTTGGCTTTGAGGTAGCCAAGCAACATGGAGAGGCTACCCATCCCCATTGCTAGACATATGAGTGAGGAAGCCTCCAGATGATTCTAACCTCCAGCTATTGAGTCTTATTGCCAGCCTTCAAGTCATTCCCAGCTGAGGTCACAGATATTGTAGTACAAAGTAATCTCCACTGTTTCCTGATCCATAGAACCTGTGAGTATAATGAAATGTTTGTTATTTATTTATTTTTTTTTTTGAGATGGAGTTTTGCCCTTGTTACCCAGGCTGGAGTGCAATGGCGCAATCTTGGCTCACCGCAACCTCGGCCTCCTGGGTTCAGGCAATTCTCCTGCCTCAGCCTCCTGAGTAGCTGGGATTACAGGCACACGCCACCATGCCCAGCTAATTTTTTGTATTTTTAGTAGAGACGGGGTTTCACCATGTTGACCAGGATGGTCTCGATCTCTTGACCTCGTGATCCACCCGCCTCGGCCTCCCACAGTGCTGGGATTACAGGCTTGAGCCACCGCGCCCGGCCTAAATGTTTGTTATTTTAAGTCACTAACTCAAAAATAGTAACTGGAACAGCAACCACATAAAACACTTTTAGATTCCTATTTTTCCATATCACCAGGTAGATTTTCCTCCATGAAACCTTCTTTCTAACCAACATGATCTCTTCTTATTTGGTATACTTTTACTATACATGTTGTTAGTACTAATTTGTGCATGTTCATTCATTCATTATTGTATTTTCTTTATTTTATTTTATGTTTTGAGACGGAGTCTCACTCTGTCTCCCAGGCTGGAGTGCAGAGGTGTGATCTTGGCTTACTGCAACCTCTGACTCCTGGGTTCAAGTGATTCTCATACCTCAGCCTCCTGAGTAGCTGGGATTATAGGCATGTGCCACCATGCCCAGCTAATTTTTGTATTTTTAGTAGAGACAGGGTTTCACCATATTGGCCAGGCTTGTCTCGAACTCCTGACCTCAGGTGATCCACTTGCTGCAGCCTCCTAAAGTGCTGGGATTACAAGTGTGAGCCACCGTGCCTGGTCGATTATTGTATTTTCTATCCTTATCTAGACTTTTTATCCTCAACTAGATTATAAGCTTTTTTCAAGACAGTGGTGATTTCCTTTATTCATTTAACATGTGCTCATCTACTGCTTACTATGTGCCAAGCACCGTTCTAGGTGCTAGAGATACATCAATGAAAGTAAACAGACATGAACTTCCTGCCTTCATTCCATATCCATGGGTTCCCCATCTTGGATTCAACCTATCGTGGATCAAAAATAATTGGAAAAAAAAAGATAGATAGCACATCTGTACTGAACTTGTACAGACTTCCTTTTCTTGTTATTATACCCTAAACAATAGTGTGGCAACTATTTACATAGCATTTACATTGTACTAGGTGATTGCTGAGTAATTAAGAGATTATTTAAAGTATACGGGAGGATGTGTGTAGATTATATGCAAATACCACACCATTTTATATAAAGGACTTCAGCATCTGCAGATTTTGGTATCTGAGGGAGATCCTGGAACCAATCTCCTCTGAAAGGATGACTGTATAAGTAACTATTTTGAATCAGAGCTTATCTTGCTACTACCATATTTAATAGTGCTTCATTAAAGTTTCCATTAATATCATTAATTTAAATATCTGTTTTATCTAAAATAATGTTTATTTTTACTTTTTTCTGTAGTTGAGGGGAGCCACTGTTGAACTCAGTGCCTCTCCTCACTATGTCAGCTTTGTATTAGACCACCGAATGGGGAGAGAAGAAATATCTTGGAATTCTTGTTTCAATCCTACTGTGAAGTCAGGCATGCAAATAGATGTCTATCAATAGTTGGTTTTCCCTAGCCCACCATGGCAGTGAGGAGTAAGTGGTTAATGTGAAAATTGGAGAGGGAGCCAAAGAAGCGTTAAAATGTGGAAATGGTACATTTTGATTATTCACCTGAGAATAATGTGTGGTCTGCTCTTGTTGAGTGGTCTGCTCTTGCTGAGTGGAGTGTTGAATAGATGACTGTTAGGTCCAGGTGATTTATATTGTGGATTAAGCCTTCTGCTGCTTTTGCCTGCTCATATCTACTGTTGAACTCCTTTAGTGATTTTTTTTTTACTTTACTTAGTGTAATTTTTTTTTTGTCTTTTTTGAGTTGGAGTCTCACTCAGTTGCCAGGCTGGAGTGCAGTGGCGCCATCTTGGCTCAATGCAACCTCCGCCTCCTGGGTTCAAGTGATTCTCCTGCCTCAGCCTCTTGAGAAGCTCAATTACAGGCACGCACCACCTTGTCTGGCTAATGTTTTAATTTTAAGTAGAGATGTGGTTTCACCATGTTGGCCAGGCTGGTCTCAAACTCCTGACCTCAGGTAATCCACCTGCCTCAGCCTCCCAAAGTGCTGGGATTACAGGCATCATTTATTGTATTTTTAATAGTTTCTATATATATTTTCTATTTGTTGATGTTTTCTTATACTTTTCCTTTAGTTCTTTAGATATGATTTCCTTTTGTTCTTAAGTTTTTGTCCTGTAAGTTCAACATCTGAGCTTCCTCACAGACAGTTTCTATTGGTTGCGTTTTTTCCTGTGTGTGGGTCATACTTTGTTTCTTTGTATAACTTGTAATTTTTTATTGATGACTGGACATTTAAAATCATATAAGGTGGCAACTCTGGAAGTTCTCTCCTCTCCCAGGGGTTTGTTGTTTCTTTCGTTCGTTGTTTGTTTTGTGACCTTTCTGAACTAAATCTGTAAGCCTGTGTTCTTTGTCATATGTGGCCACTGAAGTCTTTGCTTGGTTAGCTTAGTGGTCAGCTAGTGTTTGGATACAGATTTCCTTAAAAGCCTGGAACCTTTAAGTCCCCTAGTCTTTGCCAAAGGGCTCTGTATACACATTGGGGTATGCTTTAAACACTGAGATAGGAAGTTAGCAAGTTTGCTTTGGCTTTTAATTTCTACTTGCACATGATACTTGTGGGCTGGAGGAGGTCCTCAAATGCTGCTGGGACCTCAATCCCAGCCAGTGTCTAGACTCTTGACACCGTCGTGAGAAGGAATTCAAGGACGAGTCAGAAAATAGTGAAAGTATGGAGACTTAATTGCAAAACAAAAAGTACACATTCAAGAAAGGGGAATGCGGGCACACTCAAGAGAGAGTCACGCACAAGGGGTTTTGGGGCTACTACCTTTAGGGTTTTTTTTAACCAAGGGATGACATATTCATGAAGATTCCTGGAAAAAGGTGGAAAATTTTTGGAACTGTGGTGCCACCCATTTTTACACCAAATATGAGTGTTCCTAAAACTGTCATGGCACTGGTAGGTGTGTGATTTAGTATGCTATGAGTGTACGTTGACACCTGGGTGAAACTTAGGTAAAATCCAGTACCATGTTAAGTCTAGTCAGTCTCAGCCAGCACGGCCTACACCCTGTTTTTCAGGGTCTTATCAGCCCTTAGCTTCTGTAGCTATTTTAACAGTTTCCTTTGGCCAATCATATAAAACTGTTGCCTGGAATTTTCTTTTCTCCTGTGGCTACCTTGTATTGTTTCTGTCTCACACAGAGCCTCAAGGTCAGCCATGAATGAGAGCTTAGAGCCTTCTTAGGTCTTTCCTGAGTATGTACACAGCCCTATGTATTTAGGGGACCTTTCAGATTCCCAGGTATCTGTTAGAGCTTTTCAAAGCCACCTGTGGACATTTCATTCCCCAATTTTTCCTTTTAAGCCCTTTTGGCTAACCTGTTGTTTGTCCCGGTTGTTAGCTACCATCTCAGGCATCCTCCATGTTAAACTTATTGCCTCTGTTTTTGACAACTGCCCCTGGGGAAAAGGCTTTTTGTACTAGAAAAGTCCTGATTCAGGTCAAAGAAAGACATCCTTGTAAATAGGCATGGAGTCTTCCAGGAAACCACTAGATAGGTCAAGTAATGATAATTTCCTGAGACTGTGGCTTTGAAGGAGCTGCAGCTGTGTTCTGTCCTCTTTGATGCCTGGCAGGTTGTAGGTTTCTACCAGAGTTTTAGAATGTTGTCTTTCAAGAGTTCTGTACACATTAAAATTCTACAAAGCTTATTTTCCTACCAAGATTCAGCTGTTTTTCTTGAATAAATGATGCCTGTATTTCTGCAAGTTTTGACCTAATTTTCAGAGTTCTGAAAAAGTTGATTTTGACAGTTTTCTTTTATGGATGAGAACATGTTTGGAGATCCTCCCTCCGCTTTTTTTGTTGACATCACTCCTATTGTTTCTTTCTCCTCAGAGAAATGAATTATCTCAATCTTTCTCTTCTGCCTCCACTCCTTCTTAAACTCAAAGCACTGACAGATATTCCATTTTTCCTGTGATAGTCCAGCTTAATTGCTGTCGGTGAATCAGGGGTTAGAGGTGGTCTGTTTTCTTGGCAACTTCTGTTTTTTTGCTTCTGTTTCTTCTAGGGTCCTCTTAGAGTGGTGAGAACAAGTCAGGAATTAATATCTTATAAAGTATTCTATAACATAAAGGCAAAAAAAAGGTGATAGGTTGGAAAGGAACTAAGAAAAGATGTGATATCCAGTCAAATAAATAGAGTACTGCCAGGAAAAAAAAAAAAAAAACCCAACCGTTTTCCTGGACTTTGAATAAATGACTAAAATATTAAACCTAAGGAAAATGTAAAATAAAATCTAGAATGTTAAGAACACTTGTTTTATTATCTGTTTCTTATGTTTTGTTGTTATTTTGTCCCATGTCAGGATGCTCGACATGCAGCAGAAGGAGAAATATACACCAAACTGAATCAAAAAATTGATGAATTTGTTCAGCTTGCTGATTATGACTGGACAATGTCTGAACCAGATGGAAGAGCTAGTGGTTATTTAATGGACCTTATTAATTTTTTGAGAAGCATCTTTCAAGTGTTTACCCATTTGCCTGTAAGTATAAAAATTTTCAAAAAATTGTTTTATGTTTGCTTACTAAAGTATATTTTAAAATTTAGCTTGATGTTTACTTGTTTAAACCACCTTCCTAGAGTGCATGTTTCCTTTTCCATTATTATAAATCCATTTGTAAGGAAATATAACTTATCCAAATTGTTTGAAATTTTGATTTATTTTATTTTTAACCAAAATAACTATAACTCTCTTTCCACCAAAACCAAGGCAAAACCCTGAAACTGACAATATAGACTTAAATATAAATAATCTCTAATAAAAATAATTTTCATAGAAGTCAACATCATTAATGGCTTTTCCAGTTAGAAAGGACCAAGAAATTTCTGGCTATTTTTGAGGCAAGAGAGTAAAAGTAAAACAGGAGCATTGTTCTATCCTGGCATGTGGTCATAGTGCATCTCATTTTGGACAGCTGGTTGATGAAACATTTTTTAAAAAAATACAGCAAGGACATTTGAATATAAAGAAGGTGAAATACTGGATTATTCAGATGAGGACTGCAAAGACTAGAAGTGGGATGAGCATACTCTTATTAGGTATATCCAGAAATAAAAAAAAAATTAAAACATGAATGCAGTTATTTTATACAAAAAATATCAGAAGACATTTTATTAACTTTTTATCTTAAGATATAGTTGAACACAAGAATAAAGTGTTTAACCCATTTACACTGGAGGTTGCAAATTTTTTGTGTGAAAATCAGACCTTGGAGGTAACCTTGAGCAGTAGGATATAAATAACTCCTGCAACCTTAGCGTTCCAATAATGGAATGCTAGGCATAAATGGGTTAATCTGGAACCTACACAGCTGCCTCTAGCCACCCTCTCCCTGTTTGGAATGGGGAAAAGGCATGTTTCTTCATCCTTTACTCTTTCCCCATCAAAGAACCGATTAGAAAAGTTGAGGGAAGGTGTTGCTTAAACAAAAAAAATTAATGGAAGACTATCTTAAAGAAATTGTTATCATGGATCTGGGCCAGAGAACTTTAGAAGCTTACCCAGGGATGATACTGTATTCCCAGCTTCTGTCTTTGAACTGAAAAAGGAAATCTATAAATATATTTAATTTTTCTATCAACTAATTTCTATAGAAGTGCTTTTTTATATAGTTTATACTAAATAATTATTAAATTAATTTGGATTCACCTTATCAGTATAAATCTCCATGCTTCCAGCCAAAAGCAGTCTTCAAGAACAAACCCATGCACATGCTTTCAGACACACCCACATGTTTTATATTTTAATATCTGTGTCATGTATTCACTTTGACATGATGGGTAGGAATTTTGTACATAAATGGAATAGGATTAAGAGAGATTATATGTTAGAAATGTTTGCGGTAAATGTCTCACCTTCCAAGATCACCTTCTAGGCTGACGTCCTAGAGGAAATCCTGCTTTTTTGTAAGACATACTCTGGTGACTTTGAGAGAAATAGACTCCTAGTCTAACTAGATCAGCCTTCTGTCAGTATTAGTTTTAGATCAGTATTAGTTTTCTAAGATCCTGAAATTGTATACAGTATTCAACTAGATTTTTTCCTATCCATTATGACATTTTATTTATTTATTTATTTTGAGACGAAGCCTTGCTCTTGTTATCCAGTCTGGAGTGCAATGACCTGATTTAGGCTCACTGCATCCTCTGCCTCCCGGCCTCAAGCGATTCTCCTGCCTCAGCCTCTCAAGTAGCTGGGATTAAAGGTGTATGCCACCATACTCAGATAATTTTTGTATTTTAGTACAGATGGGGTTTTACCATGTTGGCCAGGCTGGTCTTGAACTTCTGACCTCTAGTGATCCACCCACCACAGCCTCCCAAAATGCTGGGATTACAGGCGTGAGCCACTGTGCCCGGCCTTTTATGACATTTTGTATGGCTTTAGCTGAGTCTTCGTATGCCATTTTGGATTTTTATGTCATCTAACATTGATTTTTTTCTATAAAGAAAATAAATTTTTATACAATGTAGACCCGTAAGTTCAACAATAAATACAAGGCATAACCATATACAAAGAAAATAATAATTTACACCTAAGAAAAAAGAAAAGTGGGCTGGGTGCTTTGGCTCATACCTGTAATCCCAGTACTTCAGGAGGCCAAGGTGGGAGGACCACTTGAGCCGAGGAGTTCGAGACTAGCCTGGGCAACATGGTGAAACCCAGTCTCTACAAAAATTAACTGGACTTGATGGCATGTACCTTTCATCTTGGCTGTGGGAGACTGAGGTAGGAGGATGGCGTGAGCCCGGGAGGTGGAGGCTCCATTGAGCTGTAATCATGCTACTGTGCTCCAGCATGGGTGACAGAGTGAGACCTTATCTCAAAAAAAAAAAAAAAAAAAGAGAGAGAGAGAAATGGCCCTAACAACAGTATATTGTTATTCAAGGATGAACTAAAAGCATAATTTTCAAGCAAAAATAGTAAATCATTGACTCTGATAAATTTTGGAGTCAATAGAGTGGTTTATATTATGGCTTTGTGTATTAGTTTTCTAAGATCCTGAAATTGTATACAGTATTCAACTAGATTTTTTTAAGCAACAAGAAAAGGCGGAGGCATTAAATCTATTATTTTTCTAGATGAAGTATGGCATTACGTTAAGCTACCATTTTTATTTAAATGTTTTCAGTTGAAAATGGTTTCTTAGTTTCAGGTTATTCTTGGACCCAAATAGAGTAAAAGGCCAATTCTGGACTTCTTCAACCCTCAAAGAAGCTTCAGAAGAAGCTTATCACATTTAACCCCAAATCAGTCTGCTTAAGCAGAACACGCCATCCTACTTACAGACATGAGTTAAGTAGTGCTTCTGGTTTGGGCCCCCATGCCCTGTCTTTGGTTTTGGTAGTGTTCAGGAACATTGGAGTCCGTTAGTGTCAGTGGAAGCTGAGAAACTAAGGGTCTCTCTTTCAAGTAGTGCAAATATTGGCCAATAATGCAAAAATTTGGAGCTTTTCTGGGATAGAGGTGACTCTCTCACCCCCAACCCTGAAAGTTACCTAAGATTGAACACTTTTAGCTTAAAAGTTCCATCGTTAGCTTCACTGAGTATTTTGTTTCTGTCAGTCCCCTGCTGTTATTACAAAAATAATCTTTTCTTTCTTTTCTCTCTCACTGTGTCTTTCTTTTCTTTTGGCAAAGTCTTGCTCCGTCACCCAGGCTGGAGTGCAGTGGCACGACCTTGGCTAACTGCAGCCTCTGCCTTGAGATTCAAGTGATTTTCCTGCTTCAGCCTCCCGAGTAGCTGGGATTACAGGTGCAGGCCATCATGCACGGCTAATCAGAATGTTTTCTTAGTCAATGATTGTCATGATGTGCAATTGCAGACCACCATTGCCCAGTGAAAAGTTCCATTTGTTCCAGAAAAGTTATGATCTATCCAGTGAAATTTTGTTCCCTGCTCACAGAATATGAGAACTGTACAAATTAATAGATCATGATGGTTTTGATGGAGCCTAGGGAAAGAATTTCGCAGTTTGTGATAGCCATGGAAACCTATAGGATTTGAAAAACCACAATAACCCAAATAACATTCACTTTAAAAACCTCTTATGTCCAAGGTTAGACGAGTGAGAAAATTGATTACTCCCCTTGCTGGCCATGGTGGCTCACACCTGTAATCCCAACACTTTGGGAGGCTGAAGCAGGAGGATCACTTGAGCCCACGAGTTGGAGAACAGCCTGGACAATATAGTGAACCTTGTCTCTACGAAAAATTAAAAAAATGGCCTATTGGGAGGTTAAGGCAGGAGGATTGCTTGAGTCCAAGAGGCAGAGGCTCCAGTGAGCGAAGATCATGCCACTGCACTCCAGCCTGGACAACAAAGGGAGACCCTGTCTCAAAGAAAAAAAAAATTCCCCTCACCTGTGTCTCTTAAGTGTTTGCCATTGGAAGCCTATGCAGAGGATGGAAAAATTAAGAGCTTCCTTGCCTTCAGATTAAAATACCTATTCATCTGTATTTTTCTGTGTTCTGGCTGAGAAGGCGGGCTCTCTTCTGGCTATAGGAATTAACAACAAGCTAAATAGTATTGATAGAAATAATGAATATTTTTCTATTACCCAAAATGTTACATTTCCCTGCTAAATATATTATTTTCCTCAAAGGAATTTGCCTTTTTATTCTAATTTAATAATAAATTTTATTATTCTATTTGAATAATAAAAAGGCAAATTCCCTTGAGAAATGTTTGTCTTTTATTGTTCCTAGAGGGCTGAGTGATTAAGTGAGGATGTGCATAGGATAGGATGGGCTGTAGAGTTAGAAATACTTTATATTTGAACTTTAGATTTGTAATTTACTAGCTATGGGATCCTGGCAACTTGCTTAATTTCTGAGCCTCATCCCTTCTGCAAAATGAGTGTAATGCATTTTTTTTTTTTCCGTAGGACTATCATAAGATGAATGAAAATAGTATGTAGAAAAGTTGTCTGGCAGGGTACTTGGCAGAAAGTGGGTACTATTCATGAGTGTTAGTTTGGTCTTTTATTCTCCCTTTTTCCCTTGTTACAGTTTTAAAACCCTTTATAGTATTAGTTTCATTGTATAATGAAACTTTTTTCACTTTTTTTGTTATATTTATGCCTGTGTTTTAAACTTGATATTAATTTTTGGTCTTATGCCTTTGTGTTATATAGCCATTTGAAAATGTTCTTTATTAATTGTGAAAGGCATTCATTGTAAGGCATATTTGTTTAAATCATTATTATAGCTTGAGTTGCAGTGCTTACATTTGCCAACAGTCAGGTACTACCTAATGCTAGTGAGGTCTGATTAATATAGAAGTATAATGTTATCTCTTAATTAGTACCCTTGGGAATCAGCAATTTTCAATATTTAAAATGTGTAAGTTACCCTTCTTTCTAATAATTTTTTCCTGACAATTAGAAAATATAGCCAAGTATAGAGAAGAAGAGAAAAATTACCTTTATCTTGTTAAAAGATCATCACCTATACTCCCAGTTACTTGGGAGGCTGAGGC